GCAACAAATTGAAAATAAACCAAGCTTTCGTTATCTTATCAAGAATTATTGCCCGTATTTACACGTCTGAGTGCGCACCTCCACGTGTGAAGTTTGAACTTAATTGCACTTGGCGCAAAAACGTTTGATCTGCGCCTTTTCGAACCGCCCGATGCTTTAAAAATTTTAAGATCGCAAGAAACAGTCGAGTCAAGGTTCTGTTGCAGACTGTCAAGCTGGGAACGATTTGTGAAGCGAACGAAGAAAAATATGTTGCTATGAGTAAGATGCATGTAATAGAATTTACAGTCCAAAATGAAAATTCAAAAATCTGTAAAAGTGGAAAACGAGGGGAGCTAGAAAGTAAAATTTAAGGACCCCTAGAAATAATAATCTTTATGGAGGGGTTTATTACGGTACAGTCGTATTAAACAGTCGAGCCAAGGTTCTGTTGCAGGCTGTCAAGCTGGGAACGCTTTCGGAAGCGAACGAAGAAAAATATTTTGCTATGAGTAAGATGCATGTAATAGAATTTACAGTCAAAAATGAGAATTCAAAAACCTGTAAAAGTGGAAAACGAGGGGAGCTAGAAAGTAAAATTTAAGGACCCCCAGAAATAATCATCTTTATGGAGGGGTTTATTACGGTAGTTCAATGAATTTTAGAACAAGTAGGACTTATTGCACCCTCTAGAAGTTCTAAGTCGGTTATTTTTTGGATGGGGGGGGGGAGAGGGCTTTAAATTGGGATCTTTCATGCTAATATCTTAGTCAACTTAAGCAACACATTCGAAATGATTTTGATAATGTCACCTTGATACAACTATTCGCACTCTATGAACGCGCGTGTTGCATATCAAACAATGGAAGGCGCTCTGGTCACTCAAGTGCGAGATCTTCATTTTAAAGTTCTAGAGGATTTTCCTCTCAATTAAATCTAATGATTTCGAGAATTCACACTATAATTCCAAACTTTCCTCAAAGGCGTTACAACGCTCTTTGTAATCGCCCCCCCCCCCAAAAAAAAAAACCAGGGGTGCAGAATCTTCCAAGCTTCCAACCTTTTCATGCGCCCGCCCGTCAGTTTTCCACTTTTTTTCTCTTCAGTTTCCCCCAAAATTTCCCACCGATTTCAAAAGTGAGAACCTCTTTCCTCTTCTTTCCTTTGATTATCGACTTTTGACTCTTCAAAATGTTCCCTCCTTCCACATTTGTAAGCCTTTCCACATTTTCACATGCCCGGGCGGGCGCGTGATCGAGCATTTTCCGCACCCCCGCCTAGAACGTCACTCATTTCACGAACGGCCCCCTCAAACGACGACCCTGACATTTTGAGGGAATTTTGGCACTAATTTTAAGAGCAACCTCATTAAAATTGCTTCCACGAAAGCTCGAGAGCTTGTCAACGTATCGCATAAATTCGCGGTACTCGCGGATGATCCAGCGGCACAACAGGCCGGTTCCGGCGAGGGATGAGTCACATGCAGAAGCTCGGAGCTTCCGTAAATAAACATGGATGCAACCGGGCTGACACATCTCGATGACGCGACACGCGACAGACGCGACACTCGAATTCGTCTCCCATTCATTCAGCTTCTAAATCTGATCGGATTGACGAGACGAGACGAGACGACTGACTCACGTCGCGCGCCGCGCCACCTAGACTAACCGCCACGCTTCGGGGTCAAGGGCGGACCGTCTCGTGTCAATAGTTGCCGCTAGAGTACTTTTATGGGAGAGTGTGGACGTTTCGGTAATTTTGGGGGTTAGGGTATGGAGCTGTTAGGGCCCAAAGGTTATGCAGAATGATTTATTTATCATTAGAATAATTGAACCGCGTTAAGCAGAAAGGAACCAAGCCACATCCGCTATCGCCAAATTTAACTTGACAATTTAATTTTTACTTGAAAACGGTTGTGCAGATCTTTGTGAAAAGTGAAGTGTATTTTTTTCATAGCTCAAAGCAAATTCCTTAAAATTTCCCAGGGAATCTGCAAAATCGCTCTTTTGTTAAAAATTAAATAACCCCAGTTAAATTTGGCAATAGCTGATGTGTCTTGGTTCTTTTCTGCTGAGCGCGGTCCAAGTGCGACTCTTCGTTTGTAAAGCGCGTATTTGACTTCACCTTAAACTCAACCATACAAACTTCCTTTGAATTTAAATGTTCTCACAACTTCGTCTAAATCTGAAAAATTAATTGACTTTTAATTGAAATAGACCAATCCCAGTGCACTTCTCGAATTTTTTTCTTTAACTTCGCCTGATTTCTGAAATTATCGTCAGCTTTCATATAGATTCAGCAAAATAAATCAAATTGAACCTCCATCGAATTTTTAGAATTTGATGAAAATTTGAACTTTGACAGTGTTATCAAATTGGCACTGTTGGTCAAGTTCGACGATTATTTGATCATATTAGTGCAATAAGTCGCACAATTGCGGTATATTCGACATTTTACGAAACTGTAGGCACACTCGCATCATGAAGACTGATTCTTCGCGTACGGATCGCTTCAGCATTCCTTGCAAATCGGCACTGCTTCTTAAGTCATGCAGTAAGTGAACCGCGAAAAGCAAGAGAATATGACCTAACAGTGGCTCACGCTATAATCATTTTACAGCTGTCTTTCATAGCACCTCAGAGATCGAGGCTCAGGAAAATCTGCTCGACAAGCGTGCAGTTGCTGACTAATTTTTCAGCTTCGACAGGCCATATTTGTAACGTTAATTCCCCCTGACTTCCGTAAGATCACGGCGGGTGTCACGGAATTAAATCGCTGCAGTTATTATTGACGTCGGAGCAAATGCAGAGGTTAAGATCTTTTCAACGATGCCCTATTGTGCAGATTTCTTTTGAACATATTTTAAAAAGAACGATGTGCATAGGGATTGCGTGTAGCATAGTTCCTTTTAGCATAAATACGTCCTTTTTATGCCTTAGCTGTTGCGGAAATTAAAATGTGCATGGAATGGAAATCTGGAAATTTCGTTTCCCAAACGTCGCTTGTGAGAACTCAATATTTCGTCAATTTTAGCCGTATCTTCGAAATCATTCCTTAATACGATATTGATCGAGTCTAATGTCGCCCGATCAACATTCATCAGTCAAAATCGAGAAATTGCAATTTGTTTACTCGTGATGTAGAATATCTAAGCGGACAGAAGGATTATTGAACATGAATGGTTTGCATAGGGAAGCTATAGGTGGTCAGTATGGATTTTGCGACTATATTAGTACCGTGCTGAAGTAGAATGCCGTATGAGCCTTCAGGCGTACTTGCAAAACCTCATTTGACAAATCTCGAATTTTTCAGAAATTTGTAGATACTTTTCCTCCAAATTTTTAGAGAATTTCGTTCGTAATTTGATCCATATTGTTTAAAAGTGTCAATGAAAAATATGCATAACTATCCTCAAAATTAAATATTTTCCGAGAGTAAATTTGGCCACATTCGAATGTTCATACGGCGTTTTCCCTTAGCACGGCAGATTACGTGACTTTTCATAATGTCACTTATCTGGACTTGATGATTTTTCCAGTTTTCCGGAAAAACCTATAGGATACAGCCAGACCCAGCAAAAAAACGGAGACCCCAATATTTTTTACTCTTTTGCCCAGTCTCATTTTAAATATGGCCCTCTCTCACGTAAATACGGCACTTACTCATACATACATGTTCATACTTAATGATAAACATAAAATTCCTGACACAGCGGTTCTAGTGATTTTCCGTCCAGTCGAAGTCATCGATCGTCTTACTAGTGTGAGTTAAGAGATGACAAATCTCAACCCGGCAACTGCAAAATTGAATGTCATCCACGAAGACAGTTTGACATATCTATTTAAACATTACAATGAACTATACTCGTTGTTTGCTACGGCTCCCCGTCAGTACGTTCATTTTTACTGAACGACATCCAATTTCTCTCCGGTCTGTTCTCGCTGAAACTTTTCCACCCGATCAACCTTCCCCGATCCATTACGTGGCAAGTAGTCGAAACACCTTGTATATCGATGTTCCTCGCGGCGCGGCTATTTGTTCCCGGCGAAACGCGTGGGAAATGCGGGAAACCCACTCGCCTCGCCATGAAAGGCGTCCGCACCGCGCGACGTTGCCGCTCAGCCGTGAAAATCCACGATTTTCCTTCGGTTTCCGTGGGAAAAACACGAGTTTTCTCGCCGAGCTGGCGACCGCGCCTGCGGCCACAAAGGACGGTCCGTGATGCAAGCTCTCGAAAGACTTGCACCATTTCAATTAACCGACCATCGGCGCAACCTTAGTCGGATATAGAGGAAAGGATATAGTGGACATAAACGTGGTCATTCATGAGTCGAGGCGCCCGCTCCGCCTTTACGGAGGTGTTCTGCATCCGGATTGGTGTGGAGTTTCAGCGAAGTCGAGTCAATGAACTCGGTGCTGAGGAAAAAATGAGTCAACTTAATTTCATGATCAGGTTCCCCATTTTCGTGGTTCTTAACTTTAAGGAAATCTGTTAAATACGTTTTCTTAGCCAAAGTTTCTGTGAATCTTAAAATTTAGAGGATGGGAGGAAATTGGATCTCATTTTGCAATGAGGAACCACTATTTCTGGCTCATTTTAAAAACAACATACATGCCATTGGTTTTCCTATGCAGATATGTGCTTCTATGGGAGAGTCAGAGATAGTGGTTGTGTTTCCTTATTGCAAAATGTAATCTAATTTTTGTTAACTTGGAAATATCTGGGGAAACTTACAGAATTTTGAAAAGATCAGGGCGCATGGAACGAAATAATTTTTCATGATGTAAATGGTTTCAGACCCACTTGGCCCAAAGAGGTAAATTTATGCCATCAATCAGATCGCATTCAATAGAATACTACCAGTGACTTCAAAATCTTGCATTTTTACGTGTTAAGTTAGTGTTGAAATGTATACTATCGTTTTCCTTTCAAAGTAGCCTTTTTTTTTCTTTTTTTTTTTGGAGAAGAACAAAAACTATTTGCTCGTAGTTCTAATGCACTCTGTCTGCTTTTGTTACAGATGTCAGATTTTTCCGACGAGGAAAATAAAATGGCGGCTGTCATGGAAAATTTCCAGAAGAAAAATTCTGTTGGATCAATCGGCAGTAGACCACACATAAACGCTCAACAGGTAATCCTTTTTTCATGGTAATTATTATTATACTTATGATCACCAGCTTGCGTCTGACTGGTGCGTTTCGACGCTCTCGTCATAATGTTATTTTTACCAAATCATCATTTCTGAAACATGCTACTTCTCCTACGATTTAAAGTTTCCCCGGAAATTCAGTCGTCCCTGAAGTTTTTCTACAAAACGAGTTTTTTTATGTTTCGGAGCGACCATTCCTCCTAAATTGATCAGGACAATCCTAATTGCATTTCGTAGTTTCAATGACGAAAAAACTTAATTACATTTCAGTGATGCCAAATTGACCCTCGTAAATAGTTTTTTACGAGGAGGATCTTGCGCATTTCCAACTGAACATTTCCCCAATTATTCCTCTGATCACAAAAATCGCAAAAATCAGACAAAAATATTTTAGGCATAAAGTTGTGTAGGCACACTCTCGTAAAAAAATTGATTTTTGTCAGTAAACATTGCAATCGTGGAATGAAGTTACGTTCCTGCATCCAGGAAACGACGATTTGACCAGAATTAGAGTAAATTTTACCCACCACATCTGTCATTCGTTTAATTTAATTACATTTGAAAAACAGCAAGTCAACACCGTAGTCTTCCTGAAATTTTCTCCTCCCTTTTCCGAATGTTTTCTTCGGTCCGAAACATATTTTCAAGTTCCGTCAGAGAACATATGAATGAAGAGCGTTTCAAAAAGTAGCGACCTTGACTTAGGCCAATCCTTTTCTCCGTATCCAGCGCAGTCCCACGCGTTTCGCGCACTAATGGCCCTCGCGCCTTCCCCTTCCCCTTCCCCACCCCTTTTCAGACCGCTAAAAATAAATATCTAGAACTTAATTGTCAGATTCCCATGAAAATCAGCTTTTTCTTCCATGGAAGTCTACGTAAACTGTGGCGCTAAGAAAGAACGTCACGCAAGCCTTTGAACGACGTCAAAATTTGTCCGATCAACTATAAATTTTCTAGAAATTGTTTCGAAAAATTTTACACAAAGTATTTTATTCGAATTATAATGCATTCTATCTCAACATATCTCGGCTAAATATTTAAAGCTCAGTTTAAATGTAAATGAATTTGAGCAAAATCGGCCTAGTTTGAGTGTCCATATGGTGTTTCTCCTCAGCATACTGCCGTGCTAAAGTAATAACACTCAGACGTTGTCAACTTCTCCCTCTTGAAGGACTAACTTTTGAGAAAAATTAGAAATTTTTTCCTTTTGTGATGAACATTTTAGGAGTTCAAGCCACCACACGAGTAACTTTAAAATTGGTGAATTTAAGAACTTAAAACCACTTACTTGCACAAGTCGTAAAGTTATTAAAATTTCTAATTTGAATTGAAAATTTTTTAAATTTTTATTATTTTACGATTAATGCAAGTGAGTCATTTTAAGTTTTTAAATTTTTTACCAATTTTTCTTCTGAACGTTTTCAAATACTTTGGATCACATCACGAAGAAAATTCTCTGAAAAATTAGACAGGAAATATTCACAAGTTCTCCTGGGAATTCGTATTTTATCTAAGGAGATTTGGCAACTTTCGAAGGCTCATATGACGTTCTTCTTTAGCACGGCAGGACAGTGATAAAGTATATGCAAATTTCCAACGTACAATCTGACAACCTCGACTCTGAAATCAGGATGTCTTTCTCACTCTTTCTTTTCCTACACCTGCGGGTCGATTGTTGAATCATTATCGATTAAACCTAATCGATATTTCCCTATCTTGGCAATGCTATATATCGATCAAGGTTATTCGATAACGATTAAATAATCGGCCCGCTTACTCCGACGCCGAGTCATTCTCCACTCGATTAAGTCAGTTTATTTTTTTGTTGACGTCTCTGCTTTTCGAATGGCCAGCCCTTTGGCGTTCTACCGTGGCCTTAATGGCCTTAATTGAAACGAATCAACAGGGCCAGACCAAAAATGGCTGTTTACGGATTTTGAAAAATTAGCTCTAGTCGCCAGGACGGAGGAAAAGGAGCCGTTTAGTCCGATCGAAGATTAGAATAGATGTTTTTGTTGTTGTTTTGGGGCCCAAATCTGAATCGAGCACTAGCAGGTGTCTGGAAATTGATAAATTTCTTTTATAAATGGAAACTAGTGATTATGAGTGATTCAGCCACGATGAATTCCTTCTTTTTTAAAATTGGCGATCATGAAAGGGAACACAACAGCATCCTTTAATTTGTTGTGATACGTTTGTTTACATCGTAGATTCTTCACAATGACGTCATCGCACCACGCTAACTTTGAAATCGAATTTTCTACACTTTCCCGTAGATGAAAATTTTTATAAAATCAATGGCGAACATTACTTTTCAAGCACTATCATAGTATGAAGCAATAAAATCGTCATCTGCAAGTTAAGTCAATAATCGATTCTTTACCATAGCTTCGAAAGGGTAAATATAGATGATCGATGCCACCGGCCCTTATGATAGCAATCCCTGACCCATGCAGTGTTACCAATAAGCCCACCATAAAAGCCCAAGCATACCAATGACTCAATCTTTAATAAAAATACGTTTAAGTTTCTGTCAACTTCCGATCTGAATTCCTAACGACTGTTTCATCCGAGAGGATGTTGAATTTCCACGAAAAGTGAGCTTGCACGGGCCCTTGAAATTGAATTGGCCCTCTCGAGGTGCGGTCAACGTTCGGCGTCGGGAGATCAACTCATGGAGTAGGGCACTCGGAGCTTCCGTTCTAGACTCGAGTGGTTTTTTTTATGACCGGGCGCCGAAGTCGAGTCGCGGCTACATCAAAAGCACCTCTCGAGAGCTCTCGTCGAACGACGTGACAAATATGGATGCACTGTCAACGAAAATAAAACGCCACCGTCGCTAATAATAAATAAACAGTAACTCAAAATAATAACAGTTTAAAAGGGAGGTGACAGCAGGATCTGCGAAGAGGAAACCTATCTTCCAAACATCCAAAATTTAGTTATTGGCATAGGGTCGCTGATGGTCTGGAAGACCTGACCGTCAGGGTAGGATTGCCTTAGTCAGGGAATACCGGGAAATATCCGGGAATATTAAAAATTCAGGGAAAACTTGAAAATGTCAGGGAAACTGGCGAAAATGTCTGGGAAAATTGTTCAGTCACCCTTATTTGTTATACAGGGTGGCCCGGACCTACCGTACCAGGCCTTTTTTCGGTTAATTTGGGTTGTACGAAGTCCAGGATCGCGGGGATGAATAGGGAATTGACCCCAAGGAATCCGAATTCCATGGTTCTAGAGCCCCCTGGCGACCCTTGGGGGGTAATAGAGGGGTCCGTACTTCAAAAGTTAGGGTTTATGTCAAAATTTTGAAAGTATTTCATCGGAATCAGAACGTACGGAAATTTTTAACTTAAATCGACACCAAGAAATCCAAAATCGGCCCATCCGTGTCCAATGTACCGACCCCTGAAGGTGGGGGACAGAGCCCCCTTTCAAAAAAATTCAAGTTCGTTAAATTGACGTGGAGACTCTGAAAAAATGTGTATTCATGGATAATCGACCCCAAAGGATCCAAATTTGAGGGTCCCGTTGTCCTCAGAGACTTTTCTGATATATAGGGCACGGGGAGACGGGGGACTCTGAACTTTTAAATTTAACCGGTGTGGAGGTTACCCCTGTGCCCGTGCCCCATCAGAAAAGTCTCTGAAGACAACGGGACCCTCAAATTTGGATTCCTTTGGGTCTATTACCCATGAATGCACATTTTTTCAGTTCTCGACATCCTGCTGGTACCATTGCATAGAGGAGACTGCATTTTAGAATTTGGAAACTGGGATCCCTTTTCACGTATATGGTCGCATGGTATTTGTTGATTTTTTTATTTTTTTTCCACGTCAATAACAGCTTTTGCGTGTGCTCGTCGGGACAATCGGTTTCTGAACTCCGTCATGCTGGGAGGGCCTCAATTGTAGCTAATTGAATACTGTCAATAACATCAAATCAAAATGAACTTTCAATAATCGTATCCATCACACCGAATTAACATCATAATACTGACGTATTAATCTTGCATTCGACGGATGTGGTAACACCACGCCCTCAAGATTTATGGAGTGATCCTCTTGAACAAGCCTTTCCGCGAACACTCTATACTAAGACAATTCATTCAGTAGTGAATCAGGTGTACTTAAACTTTGTCACTTGTTATTGCCCGTCCATTCCTTTTTAGGAGCTCCTAAACTTATTCAATATAGATAAGTGAAAACGATGGAAATGAGAGAAATTCCGAGAAAAGTTAAGATTGTTACGACTTTTTAATGTTCCTTATCAGTGTCAATTCTGCGAGTGTTGAAATACGCTTTTTATTGCGGCCGGTGCTCTCACTCTTTATTGACGAAATGAAAAACTACCAATTATGTGGATAATGTATGGTTTCCCTCTCTTAAACCTCTTTGTCTCTCTTTTCTTTCATTTTATTTGTTAAGTTTTTTTCCAAGAGGGGGCTGCGGCTCAATTTTTTTTCATTTTCATGTAAACAAAACTAAGAATATTGCAATTCGGTTGGAAATAATCCAGTGCTCCCATTTCCCGAAACTAGTACTGAATTTCGGACCTTTTGAGATTTTCCTGAATTTGTCCCGGGACTTTTGAAATTCCCGATATGTTCCGGATCTTTAGCATTTTCCGGAACTTTCTCGGAACTTTTGAAAAAATTGAAACGGAATCCCGGAACTTTTAAAAAATCTAAAAAGAATCCTTGAACTTTTGAAAAAAATCGATAAACATTCCCGGAACTTTTAAAAAATCTAAAAAGAATCCCGGAAGTTTGACGGTCATAAAGTTAGAGAAATCGGAACAAAGAAGTTCCAAATCCCGACTTTTTTGACGGGCATGGAATGGAAGCACTGAAATAATCTATATTTTGAGGAGTCTCTCGACCCTGCTGTGTAACGGAAATTCCGTCACACCTATTGAGCATCGAACTCCTCGATGAAACCTTGTCCGAGCTACTCTTAAAATTTCTTGTTTTTTTCTTCCATAAATCCTCTTCAATGACGTTTCAGGATATTTACATACAAATCAATCTCTAAAAGAGTTTTACATTTTAGCATTTGTAGACGCAGTATAAATAAAATCTGAATTTTCAGATGAGGCAATATTCCTCTCAGCTTGCACAGATTTTATTATTTTCTCTTTCTTCTCAGTGTCGAGCAATAACTAACTGACAGCCTTAAAAGAAATAGGCTAAAATACTAAAAATCGGTCGGAAATATTCAGGAGGAAATACTTTGTACTACAAGGAAGAGGTAGAAAAAATGAAAAATTGGAGACGGAATAAGAAGAAAGTTTACCGATGGCACAAGAAGTGGTTTAACATCATTGCAAAGCTGTATTTGCGCAGAAGCTTGTAAATTGTCTGTCTTAATAGTGGCAACCTCATTATGTACCGTGATCGTCGATATCTCAGCGAGACATGTGCAGGCGTTGAAGCAGAATGAAAAACTTTGTATGACCAGTGAGAAATGGTTTCACTCACAAACATGGTGAAATGAGCATTTCCTTGTCTCAATAGCGGTCATTAATTAACAATGGTCTATGACTCCACGGTAGTGGGCCGATATGTGAGGTGTGACAAAAAGGTCTAGAGTACAGATTTAGAAAAATTATTATTTTTCAATTCCGTGCTGACTTGAAAGTACGGTGTTCAATATCTATGAATGGTCCTGTTCGGTTCCTGCACCGAGCTTTTACTGTAGCTAGGTTTGGTTTATCTGGAGGCACAGTTCCTAGAACCGAGAGAGCGGTTACACGAAATGACCAGTACGCCCTGGTAAAAATTGGCAGAAGAATCTGTGTTCCAAAATACCATAGACCTACAGCCGGCTGTAAGATTTTCAATGGCTTTTATAGCCGGCTACACAATTTTTTATAGCCTTTTATAGCCGATGGCGATTAAGCAACAGCCAGGCGATAAGGTGTATGCTAAATGTTACTAATTACGGATGCTAGGACTTAGTGAGTTTTTGGAATACTGCTCTCTTTTTGGGCCGTAGTATCTTGATTTATTTTGAGAGGAAAGCTCCGTACTTTTGATGGATGCCTGCCATTACTAATATATTAGAGCGCCTTCAGTTTCGTATGATACTGTGCAATACCTCTGGTGTGAAATAGTTGCTTCAAGCGCCGTGGCAGACGGGCAGCCAGCGCGAAACACGCATTGGCGCCTACAAACCTAACAGGGATACTTCACGCGTTGCGCAATGCGTGAAGTATCCCTGTTAGGTTTGTAGGCGCCAGTGCGTCGCCGTTCCGCTTTGTGTTAGGCTCTAATATTTAATCTGGCGGAGTCAGCGTTATTCAACTCATGATTTTGAAACGTTCGCACATCCTGTATGGAATATTCTCATTTTAATTGAATAAATAATCTGATATATAAATAAATTAATATAAATAATAATAAATAAATTTATGAAACATTGAAAAACACAGGTTCCTTTTCATGTTTCGCAAAATGTATAAATTGTGATTTTCTTCTGTTTTGGGGCGTTTTAGTGCGGGTTGCATACTCTAGCCCCTGAAAAATATGAAATGTTTCACATAGCCTCGTGAAATTTCATGAAATATACACGGAAATTCCAATAATTCATATTTTTTCCATTTCACGTGTGCAACCCTGGCTGACAACCGCAGCGAAGTCCAGATTGTTTGTTTTTGCTAGCATCTCTTAATAAAAATAGCCGAGAGAGTTATTTAAATAGACAACCGTTGAACCAGGTTTACACCGCTGCTCATCCCTGGAGCGGCTAGCGAAATCAATTCCAATAAATTGAAGACGATTAGTTTAACGACGCGCTGCGACTAGTCACGATTCTGGTCGGATGCCAGGTGGCAACTCTCGGGGCTCCACCGCGAACCGGAGCTTGGGCAATCGCGCGCGAGCCGCTCGTCCGAGTGTCCACCCACGCGCGGATCGCGGGTGCGTGGGGAACCGGGGATTCCCGGGGTGCCCGTCGACGGGGTGGATCGGGAGGAAGTAGGAACGACTATGTGACGTGACGTGCGGGAGCTATTAGACAATGGATGTTGAGGCAAAAAAGATACGGTTCCGGGATTGTGTTTTGTTGGTCTCAATGCAATATCCAAGTGGTTCGAAATTGAGGACCGAGGGGATGGCGCCTATAAAATGAGATAATGTTTTTGAAAACTTGAAAAAATGATTTTCCTCTCAGTTTTGAAAATGAAAGTGTGCTTCGTTTAGATTGCGCGTGTTGTAGAATCGTACTTTAATGGTGGAATCGTACAAATATTTTATTGCTGTTTTTATCCACGAGGCCTTTATAAATTATACTTTCCGATTTTTTTTTAATTTTTTTTTTTCATTTATCATTATTAAGGTGGAAGCTTTTACCTTCGGGACCACAATAGTCAAATGTCAACCTAAACTACTAGATGGATGACTGGAAACGCGTTGTCAATATCACTCTGCAAACAAACCGAAGTTAAGGAAACTTTTTTGGCTCATGAATCGAATTTTTCAAAGCGCGATATCTTGGTTAATATTAAACGTAGAAAGTTGCAATTTAGATAGATCTTATTATTTTAGGATTGTCTACAAGAATCAAGCGTCAAAACACTATCCTGCGATCAGCGCAACAGAACACGAAAATGTTGAATCCCCGAAAGTAAATGCTTTCCCCTGTCGTCTGTCTCTTGTCTCTGGTCACTGCATGTATTTGAATCACGGACAGTAGGTCTACGAAAAAAAGGTCTGCTAAAAAAATGTCTACATTTGTTGGTCTACAGTCAAAATGTCTACAATTAAGAAGTCTACTTTTAGAATGCCCAAGAAAGAAAATGTCTACATATAACGCGCCTATTAAAGGAAAATGAATACAAGATGATTCTTCTCCATAGATACAACTAAAGAGGTGATTGATGTGAGTTCACTCTACCTATTCCATTCAGAACTGATATTTCTGAGTATGGACTTTTTTTAGGAGACACTTTTATTTGTAGACATTTTCGTAGTGGACTTTTTGGTACTAGACATTGTAAACGTAGACCAAAAAATGTATACTTTCTGCTTGTGGACATTTTTGCTGTAGACCCTCTGTCTGCATACCATGTATTTCATCCACCTAATTCCTGTTCTCTTCTCTATGCGCAGATGATGAACACAACCAAGTCGCGCGTGGCGAAGACCTCGCACTCTTCCACGCAGCGGATCCACCACATGTCGAGCGAGATGAAGTCGCTGAAGGCCTCCGAGCTGGCGGCGCTCTCCTCGGAGATGTTCCCGAAGAGGCGGACCCAGCACCACGGAGACGTCTCCCTCTCCTCCTCGGACGACGAGTACCACGAGGGCCCGGTCGTCACCTACCCGGAGTCCCCGCCCCCGGTGACCATGTCCGCCTCCGGCACCCTCATCCCGGCCACCGGCGGCGCCGCCAACGGCGCCCTCGCCACCGCCACCTCCACGTCCTCGTCGTCGTCCTCCTCGGAGACGGTCAAGTTCGAGAAGAAGCGGATGACCTCCTCGTCCGAGTCCAAGGTCGTCACCGACGCCTACAGCTCCGAGAAGTCGACGGCCAACTCGGCCGAGATGCGGAGCCTCCAGGCCGGCGAGCTGAGCTACCAGGAGAACTCGGCCGCTGCCAAGATGCGGGCCCGGCTCGAGATGGATGGGGTGTCCGCCGAGAAGGCTATGGATATGCTCCAGGTAAGGGACCTCTCTTGCTCTCTGGGTGTAGTTTTGTCTGTGAATGGATCTGGGGACTGATTATTGAAATTTATGGACAAAGCTATAGACAAAGAAGACATAGGGAGTATGGAGCGATCCTATTCGTTGAAATGGGTGGTTCCTATCGACAAAGGCAGAAAATGATAGACTAACTGTCGGGTTTCTCGTGAGTTGCCGTTAGTTAGTCTATTACCTACCTCCTTTGTCCATTGCAACCACCCGCTTCCACAAATAAGATCTCTCCATACCTCTTTTGTCTCCTTTGTCTATAGCTTTGTCCATCAATTTCAATAATCGGCCCGCAGTGGACCGATCGTTGAAATTGATCGACGAAGCTGTAGACAAAAGAAGATAAAAGGGATTGGGAGGTATCCTATTGGTGGAAGTGGGTGGTTGTAAGGTTAGGAGACAGGTAATAGACTAACTAACGGCGACCCACGAGAGACCCTACATTTAGTCTATAATTTTCCGCCTCTGTGTAATACAACCACCGGTTTCAACCAGCAGGATCGCTCCTTGTTCCCTGTGTCTTCTTTGTCGATTGCTTCGTCTATAATCAGCCTACGGGCTGATTGTTGAAATTTATAGACAAAGCTATAGACGAAGAAGACATAAGGAGTATATAGCGATCCGATATGTATGGTTGAAATGGATGGTTCTTACAGACTAAGGGGGTAAAGTATAGGGTCTCCCGTGGGTTGCCGTTAGTTAGTATATTACCTACCTTCTTTGTTCATTGCAGTCACCCGCTTTCATCATTGGGATCCCTCCATACCCTTTTTGTTATCTTTGTCTATAGCTTTGTCTACCAATGTGAATGATCAGCCCGCTGTTGGCGCTTGAGGTGGCGCTTATACGAGACACGCGCGTTGACGGAGCAGCTGATTCTGTGTTCGTTCACCTCGTGGTTTTGACGTTCGGCGGCTCGTCTATCCGTCGCCGATAATTAGTGTAAATACTAAACAGACTCACTGCGTGTCAATGCCCCACCGCTTCTCTCCTTGCCGCAGCGTCGCGACGCGCCGCGCCGCGCGTCGTCGCGGCGTCTCGCGGCATCTCAGCACGCGCGCGTCTATTGTTCCCATCCGTGTTGTCACACCGCATGGGACTGTCAGATTCTTTGAACACGATTTGCGGAAATTGCTAAAATTTATCCAGCAGTTAGGCAGCCAAAAGTCCGTCCCTTGATAACATCAGCGGGCTGTTTATTGAAATTGATCGACAAAGCGATAGACATAGAAGACAAAATGGATATGGAGGGATCCTATTGGTGGAAGCGGGTGGTTTCAATGGACAAAAGGCGTAGATAATAGTCTAACTAACGACAACCCACGGGAGACCCTATAGTTAGTGTATTATTTTCTTCCGTGGTCTATAAAAACCACCCATTAAACCAATAGGCTCGCTTTATATTCACTATGTCTACTTTTGTCTGTAGCTTTGTCCATCAATTCCAAATACCAGTCCGCATGGGGCTGATTATACACCATAGAAAATAGAGATAAATAGTAGTACGAAAAATTAATCCTTGTTTATTTGAATAACTGCAGTTCGGGTTGACTCCTTTCTTTCACTCCGCAACGTTTATCGCAACGGAGAGTCTGAAACTTGGCAGCGATGCGTCGAGGCGGTGCGTCAAAGCTTTGAGAAAAGCCTCCATTGAGACCTCGAAACATTTTCCCGCGGAAAATTTGCGGCCACGCGCGCACACACTCAAAAGGAAAAAAACTCGCCAATCGCGTGTCTCATTTCAGCCGTTTCCGCGAGTAGAATGACACCCGTCCTCGTTTTGAACTCTCAATGGTAGAACTGTTCACTTTTGGACTGAAGATTTGTAGGTATTGCGTCATAATTACCAGAACCCGAAGAAAGTCGAGCTGTTCAACGGATGTAGGGATCAAAATTTTGTCTGCACCAAATAATTTTTTTTGATTGAAGTAAGTCAGGAAAAACCTGACTGGAAATTGTTGGTGTGATTTGCAATCTTGGTAAATTCTGCCTTGAGCCCTCAAAGAAATGACGGGGAGATGTTCGTATATTTGAACCATGTACGCGCTAAGCGTTGTTGTGAGAAACAAGAAACTGGTGTCACCAGTCGAAAACGCCTTCAGTTCCGCGTGATACCTCACCGCCCACACTGGCGTTAATATATTTGTATCAAAAATAATTCCGCATCTTTATACTTACTCGCACAATCTTACAATCGCTTGTCGAGCACTCGTTAAATATCTCGCGTTTGGTAAAATGTTTGAAGTTGCTTTCAATAGCAGCAGTAAAAACATTACTTCTCTAAGGGGGAATGTCGTGTTTGGATCAGCTTTTTCCTCCGTAATGAGGCTTTCAGCATTCAGCTGTGTGCTGATTCAATCGCACTTGGCAAAATCATCAGCTCTTTCTAGCCGCCTCGTGCACCGAACCGCAATCTATTCGTAGCAAAATCAGATGCTTTAAATCAATCGTGAGCAAAAGTTTTAACAGTTTGAAAATGTTGCGTTTCGGCATTTTTTTACTTTTGACGTCAGGGGACTCGAGAAAAAAACCACGAAATCGAAGAGACTTAACTGGCGCCTCGCTCGTTCATGTTTACGGCATCCGGGACGACCTTACGCTGGTCAATAAATCCGTGATTAAAATACCATAAAAGCAAGTTTTTAGCAGGATTTCAGTCTCTTTTCGGAATTCTGGAGGCATCGAGACCCTGCCCCTTCTGTATGTGCGGGTCAGACTTCGGAATGTGCTTGACTTGACCTCCCCAACTTGGACACGGATGATAAGGCCACGCCACGCCACGGAGACGGTAAATTTCGTTTCTCTTTGACGTAAGAGCGCATCTTGATTTCCGCAAGAGCCTTGGAAAGCATGGATTTATACGTAAAACAGGATTCAAGTAGAAATTGAGGTACGCCCTTACGTCAGAGAGGTGACGATTTATTACGAACTATTTTACGAGCGATGGGATCGGACCTTACGCGGTAGAGAGGAACCTTAACTTACGCACGCTTGCGAGACTTTAGATGGACTTTTCGTTTTTGTAAACCAGGAAGCTAATCAGCGATTCTCGTACATCCTCTTTTGATCGATTGAATTTACAGCGCACTGTTTTTACTAAGTTACAAATTAATGTACCAATTGTCGTCAAAATTACGTTTAAGTGTTGCTTCGACGTTAGATTTCTGATGAAAAGTGATGGAATCGACTCCAATGGGTCAGTGGCAGCCATTTTTTTTAGAATCAATTTTTTGATAGTACTGAAAGAACCTAGCTTTTACGAATTTTTTCGGTTATTTTGAAAATGCCGAAAATGGGGACCAGGTTGAAACGATATTTGAGGCGTCTAGAACCAAAAGCAGCAATCTCCATTGCCCTGTCTAAAACTTGTGCGAGAATTGTACGGTAAGAACGAGGAAGCGATGTTCAAGTTTTCTTGTGCTGTTATAAAGCGAGAAAATTTGGAAAATGTTAAAAACAGCTAGAAGTTTTGGTTGCTCTTCGCAGAAAAGTGTGCAATTTTCAAGAAAAATCATTTTAGGTGTAATAAGGTTGGCAGCAAGTGCGGTTGGTGATAACTATCAAAAGTTGGCAATGGGCCCCATCCCATCCTCAAAAACCAAAACAAAGCGCCGCCATTTTTGGGTCCTTAGCTCCTTCATGGGGCCTAGTGGCCATGCTCTCCCAACGGAGGTACTCTACCCCTTGGAAGTGCTTTCTTGATTTTTCATTGAATATATAGGTTTTTCTTGAAATTTTACATCGGAAAAACTATACTACAACCGTGTACAAATTCCTTGCCACTGACTCATTCCAGGAATGTTTCGACGACCGCCCGACATACCAAAGGAAGAAGTCCATCGATTTCGCGCGTGTGTTCGTTCCGTGCATCTGTTTTTTTTAGCAGACTCGGCACTCCCAGTTAACGTTGACGTCACGAGTGGGGTTACCGCTCGCCGGCACGGGTTTTTTCGTTACTTCTCGAAAACTCCGGCGTTTTACGAGGAGATGGCTGCCGTGTTTATGGGAACGGACGCCGCCGCCACGGGCGCCTCAGTTGGAACTTGGGCAGAGCCCGAACTTTGGCCTCCGTCCAGCCGAGGAAGATCGTCGCCAAATTTCATCTCCGAACCGTTTTCGCACTAACGGAGGACCGTAGTAATGGGTCAGTCGCGCTGGTCACAGAATCGTGTTTTGGTACTTGATTCTCGTAGATTACCTGAAAACAATAAGGTCTGTCCAAGCAGCAACTTTCTATGGTCGATGTTAACCGAGATATCGCCCTTTGAAGAATTCGGTTTATGACGTCATCCATTGTGGAAGTGACACCCTTGGTGTCTTCCACCTTGCTCTCATCAATCAGTGAGACACGCGTTTGCACTGGTTACTCGACGTGAAACTTGGATGAAAGCAAGGTGGAAGAAACCAAGGATGCCACTGCCGCGGTAGATGACGTCATGTATGTCAATATCAATATATTCGGTTGAAACAGAACTTCATAATGAGAACAGCCCATGCTAAAATTTTTAGCTTGAGCTCAATGCCAATTTTAGCGATACAGCCTCGTAAAGTTGAGTGGAAGAAAATGTAAACTTGGCAATGCTGTGACGCTAAAACCAGCTTTTACTCGAGTTGAAACTTTTACCAATTTTTACATTCCAATCAAAGAGTTCTTCTGGCAAAGCCCAAATTTTGCTCTGCACGTCTCGTAAAAAGTAAATTAATACCAAACATTCTTGAAAAGTCAGGAGTCACTGATCAAAAACTTTTCAAGAGAAGTCTGGGAATTCTAGGAGACTTGTATCTCTCATTTTTTTTTATAAAAATCTCGTTGCCCACGAATGGGGGCTTTTGCCCGAAAAAATTTGCCCCCTATGTGTTGGTTACACGCTCAAATTCCCATCAATTTCCGATCAAACGGTGACTGGTGCGCACCATCTACCATCAAATTTCTGCGGCCTGCAAAAATTTGATGGTAGATGATGGAGCTG